GAATGCTTTAACCACTAGGCTACCCCACCGTCCCTTGTTATTATGAGTCTGCGAAGGAACAGACACAGTGTGGCTACTATTGATACATGAGATGATTTGCACTTAGTCGTTTGGCATGTCGAGTGTTTGGAAGAATGCCATCGGCTCCATCAATATTGCAAAGGTTAAATCGGAAAAAATGACTGGAAAGGAACAATGGTTATTGAAGTCCTCACAATCCTCGGAGCTTTACAATGCAGAATGGTCCGTTGAAATCCTTATTCCTATGTAATATCATCCCACCAGGACGAGTGGGTCGTTGCTCATCCTGAAGCTCCCATTAAATAGATAAAGGTTTTTACGCAAAACAAAGGAAGAGACACTCGTTTTTTGTGAGCAAACATTTAGCGCCCGAATAGACAAGCCTAGTTTGGAACAACTAACATGGACTCAAAACACAAGGACTTTTTACTTATTTATTGCTGTACTCGAACCCACACCGCCAGAGTGAGGCAATTAATCGCCAGCACACAGAGTGGGTTAGATCGCTGACTTTGAGTGCTGGTGATTAGGTGCCTCACTCTTCGAATCCCGGATGGGACTCAACCCCAAAAGTACTAGAATCTGTACTTTAATAAGAAAGTGTTATTCCAAATATAACATTTGTTTCAAATATTTCATAGTGATTCATAAACACATGCTCATGATCTAATAATGGGAACGTTACAATCGACTCTTAAGAGATTTATTTTAAATATAGAAAGCGTTTTATTAAACCTCATGAAACCCAACTTCCCTAGGCAAGGGAGTTAACTGATTTTAAAAGTCCAGTTTCCACCCTTGCCGAACCAGGCTGGAATTCCTGGGCTTGACAGTAGCGCCACCAGTGGTTATTACGAGTTATGTCCCTTCTAAGCCTCTCATATGGACCAATCAGATTCCACCTCTCGTATCACTTGCATTTGTTTCAAACAAAACGGCGGCGCCCAGTCAAGACGATCTGATAGATAATCAAGATCTATATTGTGATAAAACGGGTCTTACATAGCGAAGTGCATCAAATCAAGTGAGTATCTTGATTAAAAACATCAAACGACTTGGAAAATATCTGTTGACAACGAGTTGGCGGTGCACATGCTTTGAAAATCCTGCAATCAACAGAAATCTGCACGACATTTTACCAACCGGATTTCGATTTCGGTGCGCGATTTTGATTGGACTATGCATTGACTCGTCAGTCCAGCCCAAATGTAACTCCATAATACCAGCCTAGTTCGGCAAGGGTGGAAACTGGACTTTAATAGTCTGTTAACTCACTTGCCTCAGGAAGATGCGGGAAACCTTGAACTTTCTTTAAAATCATTTCATTTCCTATTACAACCAGTGTGTGTCTCCTACGTGAGTACCCATATGCACATCCTTGATTGCATAGGGCACTATATCTACACTCTATAATGATAAATACGCTGGACCCATTGAATAACACAGCTTCGCTTGGGACCTGGCGCCACAATCTCTTATTGCATACATCTACATGATGTCCCTTACAAATGAGTGTAATTTGACAGGAGAGCTATACTAGTGATGTGTCATTGGCAACGGACAAAGAAAGTCATGGAAACGAATGGGCACTAGGTATTTATATTAACACGATGGAAAAGTAATGCAAAATAATGGATGCTCGAAAATGATTTGGGTGGATATTTAGTTATATTGTTAAGTGTGTTGCTTGAACCAGTCCGCAGTCCACAGTTCAGAAAAATACACGCGAGACAACTCTTGACTCGTTCACAAGAAATCGTACGATTCTGACTCTATGATAAGCATGTGTTTATGAATCACTATCAAGGAGTGATGACACGAGGTTTTCGCGAAACAAATCAGTTCAATTCACATGGAAACAACATCGAACAACACGGGAATATCTGGGACAAGTCAAGATAGGCAATTGTATCGGACATCAATATTGTCTCTGATGCATCACAGTTTCAGAAGTCCATTTAATGCCTTCCTAATAATGAAGACTTGGCTTTGCCTTGGACAGGGTTAGGTACCAATCAAAGAGGATTTAGTTATGACAGTGTCATAGCTGGTTTCAGTAATATAATACACAGCGCAATGCCCTGAATTTATATTGCCTTCATCGGAAAAGAAAATCTAATTATATTTAAACAATTCTTCTGTGTACTTCCTTAATGTATCATACAAACGATCTGTCTTGTCAATAGTGGGTGATCATGTTTCTATAACGCTGTTGGCCATATGCCAGCTTAATCATATTATTCTTTTCTTTAATCCTTTTTTCGGCTTGATCAGCGAAGACTTAACTTCAACAAGGCCCTACATCAACGGTCCCTAGTGATGGCCATAAAACATTTGCATGCTAATGAGTTGAATGTTAAGCTTATTTAGTAAAGGTTATTTCCCAACTTTCATTGTATGATTTAGTTATATGAAGTAACATCGTGAATGAATTAAATAAGGCTTTAATTCAACATTTTGTTGCCAAATGATTTCTGAATTTCTGTGAAAGGTAATTGATAAATTCGCTTCTAACATACTTGATTGACATATTTTGACAACAGACCACACTCACCAATATTCCAGCTCTATGGCGGCAATCTGTAAACATTCGAGTTTCGACAACCCAGTGACTGACATCCTGAGCATCGATCTACACAATTGGGATATAATTAACGCATGAACCAAGACAGTTCAGTCGCCTCTTACGACAAGCATGGGTTGTGGAAGACCAATTCCAATCCGGTTGTGTGAAGAGTGATGTATTTAGAAAAACAGGACGTACTGTCGAAAGATTTGCGAATACTGGTTGCACACTCGAAGACATTTGACAGGAGGATATTGTTTTATGTTCATGCTTTCTGGTTGCTAGAAAGACTTCTAAGGAACTTTTGCGTTGTTGACAGTCCGAATATAGCATCCATTAATTTAACCGGAAGGCACTTAAAACACTTTATTGATCATAATTTCCTTTGAAGCCAGTTGTTATCTTAAACGACGACCTCAAATATGTAAATCAATGGCCATTTCCTTTAAAAATGATATTAATATCATATTTTACCATATAAAATGCATATTGTCTCAATATGAGGACGTGTGTCAGAGTTTGTATCTTTCGTGAAAAACGTGTCAAGGCATCTGAAGGTCTGATTAAAACACCTCTCACTTTCCAACCCCACTCCCATCAACTGTTTCCTATTTCAGGGAATAAATCATCGGTCATACTGTCTCAGGTCATACTGCTATTATGATATCATGATTTTCAAAAGATGTTCAATTGTGACGTGAAAGCCGTGAAGATCCGGGTTAGAATTCGTCTTCAACAACCCATGCTTGCTGTAAAAAGCTACTATGCTTGTGGTAAGAGGCGATTAACGGGATCGGGTGGTCAGGCTCGCTCACTTGGTTGCATGTCATCGTATCCCAATTGCGTGGATCGATGTTCATGATGTCAATAACTGGATTGTCTGGTCCAGACTCGATTATTCACAGACCGCAGTCATATCGCTGGAACAGTGCGGCGTTATACAACAAACACATAAACAAACAGTACTTGTTAAAGAAGCACACACAAGATTATCTGTGTTGATGATCCTGAACTTGAGGATACACTATCGTTCCGTTGGGTTTTCCGCCTGAAATACACTTTCACGCGTGCTTTAAATATTTCATGAATCGCAAGACGTCATTTCGCAAAGTTTATGAAGTAAGATAAGTATTTGGAATTACCTACTGGTGGTATTTGCAAAAGAAGTGCTTCTGAATAAATATTTTCTTTCCCTTTGACGCTGTCATCAGTGAACTTATGCTCTAACGTTGATTCGATACATCTGGCAGAGGCATCAGGATGCAGGATTCTTAAATGTCATGGCAGAATATATCGCAGATACCTTGGCATCAATCACAGTGAAGAAAGAAATTAATATTTGCTGTCTCGTGCAAAGACATATTGGTGTCCTGATGCAACCGAATGTAGACAGACTCGTGGCCTTTTAATGTCAACATGTATGAGAAATGAGAGTTTTGAACATGTCAACATATATGACCAGCAATACAGGCATATAATAGTCGGTTCCACTGACATTATCACCCATGACGTCGCCAATAGAAGGTGGCGTTAGTTGTCCTAACAAACATCACTGACAGTTGTTGAGGAGGTTCATAGCCAAAGGCTCATTTATCGGTAGACTGGAATTTCTGTGTGTGGGAGCAGCGTATTATCCTCATCTTAATGATGTATCCAAGCTCTGTGCGACGTTACCCTGTGACAGATTGAAGATTTAATGTCGTCTTAGCGTTACACTGGTGTCTGCGCTGCTCTGCGCTATGTCATATGTTCTGCTGTTTGTCGGCTGGCGGGATTAAAATACGAGCTGGGTCTTGAGGTCGTGTAAGTTATATACCAATACTACATAAGAAAGATGTTTGTTGACTTGATTTCTACCCGTTCTGGACCAACAATACCAAATGCGTACTTGAAAACATTAAGAGAATCCAAAAGTGCATACAGGCGAACATAACCATTTCCCTAAGAAATCTCAATTAAAAGAGATATTCCGATTCCGACTATATCATGAGCATGTGCTATGAATCACTATCAAACAGCGATACAACCAGGTGAGCGTATCCTGCCCTGTGTTCCTGTAACTGCAAGGTACCTATACCTGCTTCTAAACCTGGATCACACTGGTATCAACACGCATGCGCATATGTCAATTTCGTTCAATGTAACACAATTTATGAGTTTGAAAAGAAAATACTATTTTATATAAAGTTTTTAGTAGCGCCACATTCGCCGTTATGAATCTGCGCGTAGGCATACGCCATACGCCACTGTGTAATACGGGCATCTACCATCACTTGTTAATTTGGCGCAGACTTGATTAATTACAGACCGCCGTTTAGACTTGGAGCATTGATGACTACGACGTTAAACAACAGTCACTTTGAAAAACAGTTGCAACCTGTATACGTGCGCTCATCGTTAGTTTGTCTTTCAGTGCACGTACCTGCGAAAGAGGAGCCAGCTGAGCACGACAGCCCCAATTCAATCCTCCCGAAAGGTGAGTCCACAACGTAGGATCGACCACAGTCAGTGCCATTCGTGACAAACTCGTGTTATTGCCCCTCTCGTGGCCATTTTTGCGACCGGGTTCCGTCTTAGCGCAAACGGGCATACCTAAAACAATTGTCAACTCGTTGCGAAATGGTTCACAAATATTTCCCCATATATTATGTATATTTCAGATGCAATTTAAAGCACATCGAGACATGCAGAAGTTTACAGTATGATTGAACACATTTAACCGGTATATTTTAGATGCAAGACACATGTAAAATCAAAAGTTATTTCTGGGTGATTCTTTGACGAAGAACTTGAAATCATACGCGCATTCTGATTGGTTTGTCGTATTTTCGCACATAACATTCATCGATAGGGGGACGAGTCTTCTTGCAGGTTACGGAAAGGGTCGAGTGGTGACGAATGAGTCAGTGCCAGTCGTACTTCGAAATCACAGGGAGATGTATCTATGAAATAAAATTTACATTTCTCTCACCGAAGACACAATTGACATATAATGTCATACGGGGATTCGGAGCAAGGGGGTGGGGGGTGGTGGTGGGTGGAGGGAAGAGTGTGTACCCCTCACCACCCCCTGTTTAAGCGTACGTAACATTTAAACATTCGGAAATGTTGTAGATTTTTGAGTATACTAAACGTAAGCGTAAAAAAAAAAACATAACGAACTCGTTAAATTATTTATTTTCAACAAAATTACACGATTACAGAACGCGAATCGGCAAATCACAAAATCCTCCTTTTCAAAAAAGTTGTCTCCGTGATTCATCATGCAGTGTTCATGACAGCGTGGATCATTTAGTTAAACATGCACACTTCACCCGTTAGAAAAAATACCTTTTAATTCAATGTTGATGGGGTATCGGCACCTTCTGATGGTGGATAAGTTGAAAATCAAATGTTACTAACCTATGGAATACTACAAGGGACAATGTCGCGTTGTCGCATTATCGCATTGTCGCATTGTCGCTCTTTGAATAATCGACCTTCCAATGCGCGACATTGCGACAATGCAACAATTTGGCCATTTGTCGCATTGTCGCATTGTCGCTCTTTGAATAATCTTTTTTATTTTACCAAAGTGCGACAATGCGGCATTTCATCAAAATGTCGCGTTGTCGCCTTTGTAATGATTACTGCATATTTTAATATTCTAACAAAGCGCGACAACGCGTCAATGCGACATTTCATCAAAATGTCGGTTGTCTCATTGTCGCGCTTTCATTTGTTACCGCTTTCTTTGAAGATTTTAACAAAACATGATCTATGATTATAGATGAATGCGCCCAGTGAACGAACAACAATTAAATATGTGCATACATACGTCCGTGAATGAACTAGGTCTGTGGGTTAAGGGGTCGTCGGTTACAGAGAAGGGGGTATGTGATGTATGTGTATAGTGCTGGGATTCGAACACGCGATCATAGTTTTCTGGTACGTCTAGGAGACGCACAGCGAACTGCGCGTTCTAAAATAACAGGGCCACTCGTGTGTCATTTGAAAAAAAGACCAGAATTAAATAGAAATTCAAAGTGTTTGTTTTTTGCTGTGAAAAAACGTTTTGTTTACGAAAACCGACACAGACAATAACGATATATGAATTCCTAAAGCAACGATGAACGATTTGTTTTCATTTTGAGAAAAGCAAACCACATTGCTTTTGCTACTTTGGGTTTAGAACCATTGTAACTAACAAAAGACCAGTGGAAAAGGAGTATAACCGTTTCGGCACATGCATAGATTAATTCACTTACTACGCATGCGCACCATCACGAAAAGGGCGACAACGCGACATTGCAACAATGCAACATTATAAAATGTCGCGTTGTCGCGCATTTTAACGCCTTTTTTACACATTTTTGGTGGGGCGAGAATGCGCCAACGCGACACATTTAGACCTTGAAAAATGTCGCGTTGTTGCATTGTCGCGTTTTGCTGAAATATAAATGATTACTCAAAGCGCGACAAAGGACAAAAATGTTGCGTTGTCGCATTGTCGCGCTTTGGCTAATTTTGACACTTTCTGCAAGTTTTTTTTTAAGGGCGACAACGCGACAATGTCTCTTGTAATATTCCATACTAACCAGTTGTGGACTGAGTACAATGTATCTATACAAGCGGCCATAAGTTTCAAATTGTGTCAACGCCTCATATCGCCTCTTCCCTGATACCAGATTGCAAGTGAAGCAATGTTGCTTTCTAAACACCGGATTCAACACCTAAAACATAATTATACCTACATGCAGTTACTTATTATCTTTTCTGTCGTGATATTTCAGTGTATGTACCTATGGGCGTGGCCTCTTTCTTGTCCGCCACCTGCATCGTCATCGTCATCGCGGTCTGCTGTCGTCGTCGTCGGTCCAGATACTCGCAGCTATTCTTTTCATCACGGGTAACATTTCTTCAACCTCGTCTACCTCCACGCCAGTCTACTTCTACTCTAACACCAGCATTACTTTCCTTGCCATATTCCAGCTACATGAGCCGACACTCAAACCAGTGGTTGATATTGTGAGCAACGCAGAGTACGAAGAAATCCTGACATCAGTCAGGTCACCTGAGTGAGTGAGATTGGTTTAACGCCGCTTTTAACAGTATTCAAGTTATATCACGGCATGTCAGCTTAATGTGGGAGGAAAGCCCGAAATGATGCAGATCTCAGACGTTTACCACTTCAGTGTAACCCACGAGCACGGGTATGGTGCTGACAAACCTAGAAACATAATCGGGGCGAACCGGGATTCGAACCCACAATAATAGGTTCATTTCGTACCCAAGGGACGCAACTCTGCACAGCGAATCGCGGCGCCTTAGACGACTGGGCCACTCGTGCCCCCATGTCACCTGAGCCTGACCACTCGATCCATGAAGTCGCTAATTCGCTGTGCAGAGTTGTGTCCCTTGGGCACGCCAGAAACCTACGATTGTGGGTTCGAATCCCGGTTCTCCCCGGTTATGTTTCTAGGTTTGTCAGCACCATACCCGTGCTCGTGGGTTTCACCGAAGTGGTAAACGTCTGAGACCTGCATCACTTCGGGCTTTCCTCCCACATTAAACTGACACGCCGTGATATAACTGGAATACTGTTAAAAACGGCGTTAAACCCAACTCACTCACTCACTCATGAAGTCGCTAACGCCTAGCATGGGTTGCTTGGGACCAATACTAACCGGGACTCACCACGGAGTCAAATATCATATGCTATACATGCACTGTGATAGTTATTTCTCGTCAGAGGGGTTCGGAAACAGTTGAACAAGAACAAGTATTAATGACATGTATTAACTTTGTAATCAACATGTTCACCTTCATATTATTATATCTGATAAGCCACCTAAATGTAAGGTTACACAGGACCTAACAAATTTGAACAAAATAATTACATCAACAATACAAAATAATGTATCATCATAAACTCTTCAACTTTTTACCCAGGACAGAAAGGGTAGCTAAAAGGACTGAAAAGGGGATTGGTTGGTCAAACGTTTGTGGATGACGTGCACCGATGGCGTGGATTGATGCTCAGTCTCTAGTTCGGCGGGTTCACTCCAGTATGTTTACAGACCGCCGTGGTATAGGTAGCATACTGCTGCCTGTGGCATTTGACAACATCCACTCACTCACTTGTACTTTTAGTAAGCGTTGATGAGTAGCAATGTTAGGATTTAATTTGTATATTTCATTGATTCCGAGCTATGTTTTCTGAGCATGTGTCAGTGTTCTTCAACGGGTATCTTTGCTTTCAGAAAAAGGGAGTGAAGATAATACACGCATCGCCAGACGAGTGCAGATTTACAGATGGGAAATATTTCTCCTTCGAGGGGAGGTATGCCGAATGGTCTCATATTACCGTAAAGCGCCTTAAAATTGGACGTCTTCTTGGAAGAGGTGCATTTGGAAACGTCCATGAAGGTTTTGCTTATGGTACCGGAATAGCAGACAATCGTCCCCTGCGAGTAGCCATCAAACGCCTCAAGGGTCAGTTTCTCACGTAAATACATAAATCTTATGTTTTGTTTGTTTGTTTAATTAACGCCGCACTCAGCAATATTCCAGCTATATGACCAGACATTCCAGTGACTGACATCATGAGCATCGGTCTACGCAATTGGGATACGGTGACATGCATCAACCAAAGCAGCGAGCCGGACAACCCGATCCTGTTAGTTGCCTCTTACGACAAGCATTGCTTGCTGAAGGCCAATTCTATCCCGGATCCTCACGGGGATTACTCATCTTATGTAAAACAATCGTTGTGTTGTTTTGACGACGAAGTGCAAAATAGTGACTTAATTAAATTATCGTGAACCAATACATCGTAATTTAGCATGACCTTGAGTACGGAATTGATTTCTCCGAGAGAAAATACACTTTTGAAAACACACTCAACAATGTAGCTAGTTGCCCAGTAACAGACAAATATTGTTTCAACTCTGGAACAAGCATTGAATATAATCTATCAACCGTACTTTAGAAACGATACTTTACTGGAAAAGCAAGTTGCTGAGTTGAAGCTAGGGATAATAGACCAGAGGCTGCACGTTCGAGTTACATATGGATGAGACGGGACTGGTGCAATAAAAACCCACTAAGTTAATTGGTACTTATGAATTGTATTTCAATTCAACAACACTTGAGACTGTTCGTATATTTCCATCACGTATATAGTTCAATTATACAACTCCTGTCAGCCGTTTCCCCTCTCTGAAACTCTCTCTTGAACCATTTCATCAATACGCCCCCTTTAATTAAGAGATCTACTAAAAGGTACATTTGGATCAAAGCTATTTGTCATTATAGAATTTATTTGTATAATTAGTTACAGTAATGTACATGTGATTGAAAGATGGTTCACTTCAGGCTGATCAATTAAGTAGTTCTTAGTTTAACAAGTCCGTTTCACTCGTGTGTCTTGTGTCTGCTTCAACATGCTTGGTTGGGTAAATATCAGAAACACTGTGAAAATCAATACAAAAAAACTTAAGGTAACTTATTTAAATTAGTATTAAACACAAACGCATGATCATGGAAGCTTCACAGACATTATTCAGGAAACAAAACTGTATATTTATTTACTTGAGATACATTTGTGAAATTAAAATTGAATTGAATTTCTTATGATTGTCCCATGGCAAACGTATAGAATCTAGGATTGTCTAGTACAGCTTTTTGTTGTGATTAATTCAGGACCGACCATTAAAATGCGTGTTTGTGTGTGCGATAAGAGGGAAGCGACAACCAAATAGCGAGTGTCGTTGTCGTTGAAAGTTCGATGACAGACTAAGTTCATGATCAAAGCAATGACAAACGGATCCTGGCAATAAAAAGTACACAGTACTGAGAGACAGAGGGAGCTAGTCCACTCATATAGCAGCGTTAGTAAACCTAAAACGATGAAGTTGTTTTGCACTCAGAGTAGAATCAGGAAAAAAGTATATCTGGAGTTTGTTGAAAGCAGAATGTATCCATACACCAGGACTAAATGACTAGTATCAATAAACCAATTGATCTTTTTTGTAGACAGCGCGTCAGATGAGGAAAGACAAGCATTTAAGACAGAGTTGGACCAAATGCGTCTCCTTGGGAACCACACAAACATCATTGGGCTCGTGGGATCGTGCAACCTTAATGGTGGATATAGAATATGTTTGAACTAGATTCAAATTACACTTGTCATCATATCCAATTATTTTACAGCAGGTTAATTAAAACTGATATCCTTACTGTCATACCGAAAGCACGCCCTATGTTTTAAAAGTATTTCCTTTATATTATATTCAATTTCTAATTAATAATTCGGCATGACTTCCTAGTAGGCAAGTAAAGTTTGTTGCCCACGCGTGGATGGCTTGATTACGATTATGCAAGTATCTGAACCTACCGAGCAAACGAAACTATGCACCCATGATTGATGGTGGCTAGAAATGACACGAACAAGAAATGGTTAATCGATGGGGATGGATTTGATACGGGTATTATAGATTTGTTTTGGATTGTATTGGTGACTGTTTTCAGCCTAAAGTAACGTTTTTATAACGTTTATAACTGTTTGGTCAAATTCAATTTCCAAGTGTTTACTTTCTTTTGCCCGGCAGTTTACTTTCACTTTCAGATATGTGTTTATTGAAAATACTTAATTGTGACTCAGTGATGCATATCATCGCCATTGTTGTTAACGAGAATCCTAATGTTTCCTAAACTATCTACCTGTGTGTTTTATTGTTTCAAGGGATTAAAAACTTGCTTGAAATCGCTGCAACAGCACATTTCAATGGTGGTCTGCCCATGCGAACTCGTAGATTAATTTTCTTCTTCCTTATGAAGAGAAAATATCCAATTTCTTATCACTTTTAGGTCAAATGGCAATACTGATGGAGTACGCGGAGATGGGGAACTTGTTGTCATATCTGAAGGAGAAGTCGGCGAAGCTGGAGAACTACGTTAGTGTAAGTGCAGATGGAGCTATCGCCGAGGAGAAGTCTCGCCAAATCACGGAGGAGACTGAGCTGATGCTGTTTGCTTGGCAGATCGCCAGGGGCATGGCGCATCTAGAATCTCTCAAGGTATCTATCTACCCGTTCACGTTGAGTTACATACCCTGACTTAAAGTGATACTTACTTACAAACGTACGAAAGATGTTATATATCGACACCGTCAGCATCATTCGCTTTATATCACGACAGGATGGACATAATCCAGACTGAGTTTAGACCAGACAGACCAGTGGCTTACAACACAATAAACAACGGACGCAATCGGAACACAATGATACAAAATCAGCAAATGGAGAGTGACCATTCGAACATCTGTGCTGGGCTTTGATAACAAACATGCAAGGGGCCTTTGAATCTCAACGAGTTTACAGGATAAACTATCGGATTAGCAGTCCTAACACTTTTGATTGAAATCGTTGAAGACCATTTTGTCTGGCTGTTAACTCAACTTTAATCAGGTACATCGGTCTGGTTCTTAGCTACAACTCTAAATACACAAAGACGGTGTCTCAGTTTGACACAAGCCACGAAATGCCACGTCCAGATTAATACTGTAAATGACCATAGCTTAGGCTTCTGGGTGACATTAATCTCAACAATATTGTGTTTACAGTGACTTCACACTCACACTATACCTCCATGTCCTTGTTGTCCTCGTGGGCCTGTATTTTCACTGCCTGTGAATCATAATCCCTGTCATTTTTATTTGTTTGTTTGTTTCATGATTACACATGCTATATTTGTAATGGCTTCTTGTCTTTTTTGTCAAGTCTGATATACTAGTATATCGATCTGGTTAGTTCCCATTGCTTTGCTGTTTGTAAATATATGTGGTAACTATAAGGGAATCTGATAAACGGTTAAAAAGAACGTGTCATTGTAATATTGGCTGCATATTTTAAAATTGTAAAAGTAAACACTGTTTATGCACACGCACACACACGCATATTATATGTGATGTAACAGTGACAACAGAGGGAGAAGTAAAGCGTTGTCCTGGGCGACAGGCAACGTTAGCTCTATTGTCACTGTTACATGAATTTGTTTTTTAAACTTACGTTAGATTTCCTATGTCTGGACAGTGTGTATTGGGAGTCTTGAGATATAAGGCGTCCGTGAAACCCAGGTCGTCAGATCCGGGTTGTCAGAATCATAGCCGTGCTCTTGAGTTTCACTGAATTTTGTCAACTTTAGGAGCAGCAACATTGGGTTACCTGAATATTGCGAGGACCCTGTGTTGCCCAGTCGTTCTAGGCGCTGCACTTGTTGCGCGCTGTACGAGTTGCTTCACGTGAGACTGACACATCGTGATATAAATTACATACTGTCCAGGGCGGTTTAAAACACAACGCACTCACACTTTTCTGCTCCAGTGCGTACATCGGGATCTCGCTTCGCGGAATGTCCTCATTGCAGCGGGGCCAATCGCTAAGATCTCTGATTTCGGCCTCACACGTGACGTGTATGAAAATGGCTACTACTTCAGAACATCAAAGGTAAGGATGATTGTGGCGGTGCTGATTATGAAGACGGTGACTATGATGATGACGATGTAATGATGATTGTAGTTGTGATGATATTGACGATGGTGATGAATACGTTAAAAGATATAACGTAGTGAACATGACGATGTTCTTGAAATTAGGGGTTGGTGGGGTAGCCAAGCAGTTCCATTTCCTATATGGGTACAATATTTTTGTTTCTGTTGTGCCCCGCCGTGATATTGCTTGAATATTGCTAAACGCCGCGTAAAACAATACTCACTCACTCTGAAGAACAGGAACACGGGCTGTCATCTGTCACCCGCCTGAGTCTTTGAAATCGATGTTGATGTATCAGCATCAAATCCCGTTAATGTCAACATGACATTGTCTACCGTGACGTATTGATGCTGGTGGTGAAGACGTCGATGACGTAGTTTACGGAGATGAACATACCTGATGTATTTAATATCAGCATTATCTTCCCTCTGTCCTGTACAGGGTCGTCTCCCCTACAAGTGGCTGAGTCCGGAGGCGTTACTATGGGGTCAGTACAACAACAAGAGTGACGTGTGGTCATTTGGCGTCCTTCTGTGGGAGATCGCCACCCTGGGAGGAAGCCCCTACCCCGGGGTGCCTGCTGACCACCTGTCGGAGCTCCACAGAACAGGCTACCGCATGCCCCAGCCTCCCAACTGTCCAGACAAACTGTAAGTACACTCCAGACAGACCTCCGCATGACGCATCCCCCAAATGTCCAGACAAACTGTAAGTACACATCAGACATACCTCCGTATGACGCAGCCCCCGACTGTCCTGACAAACTGTAAGTACACTCCAGACAGACCTCCGCATGACGCAGCCCCCAACTGTCCATACACACTGTAAGTACACTCTGGACAGACCTCCGTATGACGCAGCCCCCGACAGTCCTGACAAACTGTAAGTACACTCCGGACAGACCTCCGCATGACACAGCCCACGACTGTCCAGACAAACTGTAAGTACACTCCATCCCCACCTCCGCATGACGCAGCCCCCAACTGTCCAGACAAACTGTAAGTACACTCCAGACAGACCTCCGCATGCCCCAGCCTCCCATCTGTCCAGACAAACTGTAAGTACACTCCAGACAGACCTCCTAATGACACAGCCCACGACTGTCCAGACAAACTGTAAGTACACTCCAGAAAGACTTCTTAATGACGCATCCACCGACTGTCAAGACAAACTGTAAGTACACTCCAGACAGACCTCCGTATGACGCAGCCCACGGCTGTCCAGACAAACTGTAAGTACACTCCAGACAGACCTCCGCATGACACAGCCCACGACTGTCCAGACAAACTGTAAGTACACTCCAGACAGACCTCCGTATGACGCAGCCTCCGACTGTCCAGACAAACTGTAATAACACTCTGGACAGACCTCCGCATGACGCAGCCTCCGACTGTCCAGACAAACTGTAAGTACACTCCGAACAGACCTCCGCATGACGCAGCCCCCGACTGTCCAGACAAACTGTAATAACACTCCGGACAGACCTCCGCATGACGCAGCCCCCGACTGTCCAGACAAACTGTAAGTACAATCCATCCCCACCTCCGCATGACGCAGCCCCCAACTGTCCAGACAAACTGTAAGTACACTCCAGACAGACTTCCGCATGCCCCAGCCTCCCAACTGTCCAGACAAACTGTAAGTACACTCCAGACAGACCTCCTCATGACGCATCCCCCGACTGTCCAGACAAACTGTAAGTACACTCCAGACAGACCTCCTTATGACGCAGCCCCCAACTGTCCAGACAAACTGTAAGTACACTCCAGACAGACCTCCGCATGACACAGCCCACGACTGTCCAGACAAACTGTAAGTACACAACAGACAGACCTTCGCATGCCCCAGCCTCCCAACTGTCCAGACAAACTGTAAGTACACTCCAGACAGACCTCTTAATGACGCAGCCCCCAACTGTCCAGACAAACTGTAAGTACACTCCAGACAGACCTCCGCATGTCCCAGCCTCCCAACTGTCCAGACAAACTGTAAGTACACTCCAGACAGACCTCCTCATGACGCATCCCCCGACTGTCCAGACAAACTGTAAGTACACTCCAGACAGACCTCCGCATGACGCAGCCCCCAACTGTCCAGACAAACTGTAAGTACACTCCAGACAGACCTCCGCATTACACAGCCCACGACTGTCCAGACAAACTGTAAGTACACTCCAGACAGACCTCCGCATGACGAAGCCCCCGACTGTCCAGACAAACTGTAAGTACACTCCAGACAGACCTCCGCATGACGCAGCCCCCAACTGTCCAGACAAACTGTAAGACCACTCCAGACAGACCTCCGCATGCCCCAGCCTCCCAACTGTCCAGACAAACTGTAAGTACACTCCGGACAGACCTCCGCATAACAGCCCACGACTGTCCAGACAAACTGTAAGTACAATCCATCCCACCTCCGCATGACGCAGCCCCCAACTGTCCAGACAAACTGTAAGTACACTCCAGACAGACCTCCGCATGCCCCAGCCTCCCAACTGTCCAGACAAACTGTAAGTACACTCCGGACAGACCTCCGCATAACAGCCCACGACTGTCCAGACAAACTGTAAGTACAATCCATCCCACCTCCGCATGACGCAGCCCCCAACTGTCCAGACAAACTGTAAGTACACTCCAGACAGACCTCCGCATGCCCCAGCCTCCCAACTGTCCAGACAAACTGTAAGTACACTCCAGACAGACCTCCGCATGACGCAGCCCACGGCTGTCCAGACAAACTGTAAGTACACTCCAGACAGACCTCCGCATGACACAGCCCACGACTGTCCAGACAAACTGTAAGTACACTCCATCCCCACCTCCGCATGCCCCAGCCTCCCAACTGTCCAGACAAACTGTAAGTACACTCCAGACAGACCTCCGTATGACGCAGCCTCCGACTGTCCAGACAAACTGTAATAACACTCTGGACAGACCTCCGCATGACGCAGCCTCCGACTGTCCAGACAAACTGTAAGTACACTCCGAACAGACCTCCGCATGACGCAGCCCCCGACTGTCCAGACAAACTGTAATAACACTCCGGACAGACCTCCGCATGACGCAGCCTTCCAACTGTCCAGACAAACTGTAATAACACTCCGGACAGACCTCCGCATGACGCAGCCCACGACTGTCCAGACAAACTGTAAGTACAATCCATCCCCACCTCCGCATGACGCAGCCCCCAACTGTCCAGACAAACTGTAAGTACACTCCGGACAGACCTCCGCATGCCCCAGCCTCCCAACTGTCCAGACAAACTGTAAGTACACTCCAGACAGACCTCTTAATGACGCATCCACCGACTGTCCAGACAAACTGTAAGTACACTTCAGACAGACCTCCGCATGACACAGCCCACGACTGTCCAGACAAACTGTAAGTACTCTCCATCCCCACCTCCGCATGCCCCAGCCTCCCAACTGTCCAGACAAACTGTAAGTACACTCCAGACAGACCTCCGTATGACGCAGCCTCCGACTGTCCAGACAAACTGTAATAACACTCTGGACAGACCTCCGCATGACGCAGCCTCCGACTGTCCAGACAAACTGTAAGTACACTCCGAACAGACCTCCGCATGACGCAGCCCCCGACTGTCCAGACAAACTGTAATAACACTCCGGACAGACCTCCGCATGACGCAGCCTCCGACTGTCCAGACAAACTGTAAGTACACTCCGAACAGACCTCCGCATGACGCAGCCTCCGACTGTCCAGACAAACTGTAATAACACTCCGGACAGACCTCCGCATGACGCAGCCTCCAACTGTCCAGACGAACTGTAAGTACACTCCGGACAGACCTCCGCATGACGCAGCCCCCGACTGTCCAGACAAACTATAAATACAATCCAGACAGACCTCCACATGACGCACGTCACAGGGAGCTAAATGTGATCATTTTAAGATCATCATAAAAGCACAAGCTTAAGCCCCGTCGCGATGAACGAGACTCAATGTGAAGTCTCCTAGCCTGAACTGATGAGTATGTAAACACAGCTTCGACGTCACACTATATTTGCTTCAGGTATGGAATTATTAATGCCTGTTGGAATGAAGAACCCAGACAGAGGCCGCCATTCCACAGACTGACTGAGATTCTTGACCAGCTGCTTCTTGGAGTTGCAGAGCGGGTAAGTTTTGTTGTTCACAGGTAGGATATTTCCTTGGAGACTCGTCCGTGAAGTTTACGAGTTGAAATCTACTCCATTGTGTTAATGATAGGAGCAGCAACATTTGGGACCTGAATATTGCGAGGGCCCTGTGTTGCCCAGTCGTTCTAGGCGCTGCATTTGTTGCACGCTGTACGAGTTGCGTCCCTTGGGGATACCAGGATCCTATAGTCGTGGTTCAAATCCCGATACTCCATCGCCATTTCTTGTCAGCACCATACAAGTACTCTTGCGAAAAGGTTGATGTCCTCTATTAAGTCTTGCTTTCCTCATTTGGCGAAACTACAGCGTGAGACCCAACTGTGTCACTCACTGATGTCGGAGGTAAATTAGTAGAACCATTTTTATCATTTGTTCCACCAAAGTGGTAAAACGTCTGTTCGTATCACGTTGCGCTGTCTTCCAAAATAACTGCCACGCGTTGGCATAACTGACGCACTGTTCAAAGCGGCGTTATACCCCAACCCCAACTCCGTCTTTTAGTTTGTTTAAGCCTTCGGGCGCATATAAACCCTCAAAAAGACATAGTGCTGTCGGTTCCATATATAGAACTTCGTTGATACATATCTTTCCCCATGCAGGAATACCTCGCACTGGAGAGTGTCCCCAAACAGGAGATGTTCCACTCGTCGCAGACGAAATCAGCTGATACGATCGTCCGCATAGAAAATACCAAAGGAGCTGTGGGAATGACTAGCGTGGACACAAGCGACACGTCAACTTCCGGTTACTCCAGTTCGCAGGCTGGTTTTTATTCCTGAAGTATTTCTGTAAACAGGCTCCACGAAACGATTTACGTACTTACGATTCGCTACGGTGGTTCGCTTTGAAACAGTTGCTTCACATTAACATCGACACAGGTGTGAAACTGTAGCTTAAAGGCCATGTACAGGTTTGGACAGACAGCATAACATTGATGTCGTCGACAGGAAACGGGTGTTCAAGTTGCCTTATGGGTAAAACAGTCTCTCGTCACGTGGAAACTACAGGTTTGATTCTGCATATATGGGTACAGTGTAATGTGTCCGAACTTTGTGTGTGCTCCGCTGAGATATCGCTGGATCATTGCTACAAAACCTACTCACTAACGCGATAGAAAAAAAAACAACTTATGTCCATATGTCAGAACTCATTTGTGAGAGTTTGATGTGAGATTTGTTTTAGATTTGTATGGACTCATCTCTCATGTGATATCACATTGGTCATTATGTTCTTTGTACCGCGAAGAGGCCGCCTTTAACCAGGTTCTGCCTACAACATATGTGGCCTTTGTGACATTTGGCACTTATATGGCTGGAACCCAGGAACTGCCAGATAGACAACTTCATCAAGTGTGTATATTGATGGAATATTGATTGGAGAGGTCACGGTAGTCCTGCTAGCGTGTTTGGTAGAGAGGGTCCCGCCTTTAAGACTTTTTACTGATGCAAGAACTGACCTGTGGTAACCTTGTAACTTTGTCTATGAGTGTGTAACTGTACTTTTCGAACATCGTCAATACTTTACGGGTTTACATAAGATAGCTAAGCTGTAAATCGCAAAGAACAACGAAGAACGAAGTATGTTTTTTTCACGATAAAACATTGTTCTATCATGACGTCATTTCTGGAGAATCGAACTCGCAACTCGCAACTTGATGACGTCGTATGTTTGACGACGTTATTTCTGAGAGGGGAGTGTCTAGTGAGTAGTACCCCATAGATGTAGCAGGGCAACGCAGGTAAACGCGATGGCCGAACTATCGCATCCAAAACCGGGATAGATTTGACATTTGGTAATAGGAGAAAAGGTACAGATAATCGATGTGACGATTTACCAACATCTTTAAAGAGGCTGTACATAATGTTCATATCTCACATATAAAAATAAACGAGTCGTGGTCGTTGATTATCGTACAATGAATCACTCAAGGGAGAATATACCACTCGGGGCAGCGACACTCCCCGTTTATTCCCCATGTAGTGCTTTGTTGTACGATTTGTACTCATCGTTTATATCTTTAATACACACGTATACACGTTCCTCTCTACAAACGCAGTGTGACCGCTGTTTGTAACTACCGAATCAAGCTACGGTCTGGTTCGACAAAGTAACCAGCGAGTTGACCAATCAGCGCTCTGATTACATCGCACATCGCACAAATGGCAATATTTCTTGTGCAACATGGGGGAACGTATTTTAAACAAACCCATGATATTTTGACGATCGTTTCCCATAGGATAACTGTCATAAAATATGCGAGATGTTCTCGTGTCAATGCACTCTGCTTAAAGCAGAGACTTTTTGGATTATGGAAAGGGGTTTGTCCCTTTAAAATGTGCCATCACCAACACTGGCCGAGAAGATGAGTTTTCCCTGTCACGTGGTATGAATGTATCAGAGAGATGAAGATGAAGATGAAGGGAGTGTGATATATTAACTGTATATACATATTGGTATATCTACCAACTGGTTTGTTAGTTCAGATTTTACGGAGTGGTTTTTTTATGTATCCTTGGGGACATTTCTGACGAGAGACGACTGTTGTTGTATATAGGACCAGTTGTCTGACACCGACAATCATCTGAAGGACATGGTCATATGTTGGAGCAATACACTGGAGGACATCCAGGCATGGGAACAATAAACATTTCAACGTACAAAGCTGATGGAGTTCCATGCTTTGCTTCGCGCAATGTTTCTCAAAGTGTTTGTTTGTTGAACCTTTTTTAAAGCTTGTTGCCTTATACATAAAATATCTAAAACCAGCATTTGTATTGCATTCAGTGTTTTGTTAATTATGAAAACTCGGTGTTCTGGACCCACGTTAGTAATGAAATCCTGCTTAGCGGATGATATTGTTTTGGACATTTTCCTATATACAGATGAACATTATTCCTATATACAGAGGAACATTATTCATATATACAGAGGAACATTATTCATATATAGAGGAACATTATTTATATAGAGAGAGGAACATTATTCAAATATACAGATGAACATTATTCATATAAACAGAGGAACATTATTCAAATCCATAAATCCGGATAATCTGTTAATCTGCACTATTGCGCTCAGAACGGTACCATCTGGATTATCCCACATTGGTTTTTAAATCCTTGGTTTAGAAAATTCGTAAAATCAAACAGTGGAGAAACAAAGAGGTTCAACTCCATCCACACACACACACATACTCCACACCCCCACACTATGAAACTATGAAACTGTGAAACTATTCCTTTCAGTAGCACGTCAGCACGCACATATGTAATTACGTCAATATCAAAAAACAAGAAAGGCAAGCTGGCGATGTCAAAAACGATTTAACGGACACCTGCAAATACAAAAGCAAAAACAATGTAAGCATGTCTGTGTCATTTATCTATGTCTCCTTTGGGCGCGACCTTTCAATAAGACTGAATACTTCCTTTGAAGAACTTTCAATTTCCAGCTTAACATTTTGAAGTAACGTCTGTCCTTTCAAAGAAGGACTAAATATATCTATTTGACAATGTTTTTTTTCATAAAGCACTTTAGCCCACTCACTACTTCAGCACATCATGCTTTCAGCCGCATTGTTTTGTACCCTCGACGTGATATCCAGCGTGTAACAAACGCAATCCCTCTCAAGTCCTTCATATTAAACATTCTACTAACACATATGACCCAACACGTACTTTAAGAAATCTGGTTCACCGATGGCGTGGGTCGTTGCTAATCATTCCAGACCCGATTCAGTACAGGCCGCTGTGATAAAGCTCAAATGGTGCTGACTGAGGCATTAAACTCATCATTCGCTCACTAATGTGAAGCTAATGCCACAACCTATCACGAACAGACACTAAATCACATATCAGAGAGTCATTGCAGAGTGAACATTATATAGTGGGCTCCGGTTGTCTCCTTGTGGAATAAAATATATATGAGTCTGGTCGAGCAATGAGGCGTGATTGATAAGCTCAGAGCCTCACATAGAAATACTTGACATGAAGACAATAAATGATTTATTTTTCAACAAAATACCCTTCCACATTGTTACACTTTTACCGACGATGTTTGAGGAATGTAATCCAAGACTCGAAGAAGTCCTTCTCTTTGCTGTCAAAAAGTACAGTTGCTATGCCGTCATCGTTCGAGTCGAATTTGGTTCCGGTTTGAAATCAGGAGAAACAGATGAGCGCTGAAGTTCAAACCCCCACTCGTGCGCTGAAGCCATGGCTAAGGTTGATTTGTGTACTGATGCATTGTCTTGAATTCCCACACACTGAGAAAAAGGCCTAGTGAAGTCTACTAACGTAATTAGTGACAGCGGCCAGACTGTTAGTAAACAGCGAATTTACTATCCTGCCTGTACGAAGTTGCTGAAGATTAGTACGTATTACTTATTAAATCACTACTTAATCCACACTGTAAAAGATGTTTTAGGAATGTTAACACATACAAGACATGTTTAGGAATCCTAGACGGTATGCTTATATAGTGTGTTCTATCTAAACACGTAAAGTGTAGGGTCTAAACACATGGAATGAGCTATCGCCTCATAGCCTAAACACTACCTAAACACAACATCCCCATCATCCAAAGATGTAAACACCTTTAAACATTTTCAGAATTTAGAAATGAAGTGCATATCATCACTTGGAAATGTCACATAAATGTCCGTTATGGAAATCAAGGTATTAGACCACAGACATCATGAGACACAGAGGGGGTATTGCATGCGGAGGAAGATAACGCTCTTGTGGCTGATGGCGTAGAACATAACGATGTGGGTTGTGGGTGCAAATACCCCAAGCACCTGGCCAACAAGGCTGTCCACAACTGTTTCCCGCCGTGGTCCAAAGCCAAATGAATCATATTCATGCTGACCACACCATATTTTAGAAAAGCACCACTTCACTTACAGGTAAGTTCATGTCAAAGCAGCACCAGCTTGGTGAACGTTGCTGCTGCTGCTGCTCCTACCATGTGAGGAGGACATAACCGTGGAATGGGTTCACTCTTCAAGATGTCCAGAAACACAACTGATGGTTGAGACAGTGGAGCTCTATTTAAGGACCAAATGACCAGGGATCAGGAGGGACACGACCCTTCACTTCCCGACCAACAGTAAACAATTCAGTCGACCATTTGGGAAGATAAGCTTTTTTAAAACGTCTCTTTGGTTTGTTTAGACATCACTCGGGTACTGGGTTACAGAAGCTGTTTTGGTGATGCCTTCGTCTTCTTGTTGTTTGTGATGGTGTTTGTGCTGCTGCTTGTGTTTGTGCTTGTTCCATATGATCCAAGACACGAATTTCACCCAAAGTAGTGTTGGAATGGACATCCAAGGGCGTACCCCAATTTTAGGATGTATCCAATGATTGTAGGAATGGATCAGTTTTGGTAAAACCCGGAAGTATTGACTTGTTCCATGGTTTATGAAATAATGCCACATACGGTTGTTCAAGGTTCTTTGGTAACGCTCTACAACTGATGCTTTAGCTTCTGGATTTTGACTGGTGTAGAAATTGATCCCTCGTTTCTTCATGAACGCCTGAAAAGTTTATTGACAAATGTGGTGCCTTTGTCTGTCTGACAGAGATGGGACACGCCCTTTGGCTTGTTTCAGGTCAGTTGAAATGGGTTGAACCAAAGCCGTTTCGGAGAAGACATCGATGACACACAGCAAATACCAGTAGCCTTGGTTCTCTAGCTATGAGGCCACTTAAATCAGCTTGCCACAAGTCATCCACGCCACCCACATGGTAATGGTTCCTGGGAAACGATCGCCGGGCAGGTTTGTGCGATGTATACGTGTCCTGGTTTTTCAGCCATTGATGAATCCCACGTTGTGTCGGCCTTGGGGACGTCCCAGAATCTTTGGCTTTGGGGGCGGGGGGATGGGGGGTTAATGTCCCTGATGAAATTTTCTCCTTGGCTCGGCTTCTTAACAGCATACGTGTCATTACTGTATCAGGTGCTACTGCTGCTGTTTTCTGCTGTGTTCTTTTCTGTACACGTTTTCTGTTCTGCCTTTTTTCGTGGTGGTACAGTTTGGCGTGGGAGCTGTTGCAGGTAGGTGAGGTGAAATTGGGTTTAACGTCGCGTCCAAGATTATTGCACTTATATAGCGACGTGCATGCACGTGTATGTGTGTGTGTGGCTGCTTGTACTAGTCCGGACTGATGCCGATTTATAGTGCTAGCTCACTGAGATACCATGCAACAGTTTAACATGAATACCCCACTCAGACACAGTATACTGACTCCGAGCCGACCAGTCCTTGTTTTAGCCCCTTAATGCCGAGCGCCAGACAGGGTAACAACAAGTACAATCTTTTAACGTCTTTTTGTATGACGCGGCCCGGGATCGAACCCTGGACCTTCCGCTCTCCGGGCGGACGCTCTACCACAAGACCACGGAGGCGGTCGTTGCAGGTAGGACTGCCAGTTCAGCAAAATGCATATCAAAACATCGTTCATCGGCAGAGAGACGAGGATTCACAATCTGGTGTCCCAACAGCCAGGAGTTATGGTGAGTCTTCAAAGGAACACGCCCTGCTCAAAGATTTCTCACGGCAATGACAAACCATTGCAACAAACGATTACACTCTACGAGGGCCACTCTCTCCCCTGGATGAATTTTAGCTTTGCCTTTTGGTTTTGCTTGGCATGGTGAAATGAGGTGAGTGGTGGTTGGGAGAAGGCAATGGGTTCGTTTTGGACGTAAGGATGGGTTGTTGGGTGTGGTGGGAGGTATGGTCAAGTGAGTGAGTGAGTATGGTTTTACGCCGCTTTTAGCAATATTCCAGCAATATCATGGCGGGGGGACACCAGAAATGGGCTTCACACATTGTACCCATGTCGGGAATCGAACCCGGGTCTTCGGCGTGACGAGCCAACGCTTTAACCACAAGGCTACCCGACCGCCCGGTATGGTCAAGGCTCGAAAGGGTGTCAAGGTGTGGGATAGGGGAGAGAAGGAAGGAGTGGTCAGACGATGCACTACCCACAGGAAGGAATGGTTTGGAGGAGCCATGGATAGTAATCTACACGCCCAAAAATATTTTACAGCAATTTATCGTCATTTCGCATTCACTATAATGGATGGCATTCGTTATACAAGTTCTTGATCACAAGTTTTCCCATTTTTCAAGGTCACAAACACCTGCATATTTTACTTTGGGTATACAAATTACAAGTTCTTGTGGATATACCTCTATGTCATCATTTAATGTCCACTACAATAGATTTCCAGTTACGTAAATCCTTCCACGTGAGGCTTTGAACTTAGCAATCAACCCTCGTATATCTCTAGTGGTTGTATAATCGAATCTGGAATGGTGGCAGAACGAACGACGATCAACGCCCTGTTGATAGACATGATTATTCTTGTTCGTGCCGAAACAGGACAACTAGCGGCTTCAAGATAATGAAGCTAATACGAACATTTTGGGATAGTGGGTTAGCGTCAACATATAGATGGAGCTGTACGAATTTGTAAGATACAGTTGGGAGAGTAAGTGTACCAACTTGTATGATACAGTTGGGAGAGTGGGTGTACGAACTTGTAAGATACAGTTGGGAGAGTGGATATACGGACTTGTAAGATACAGTTGGGAGAGTGGATATACGAACTTGTAAGATACAGTTGGGAGAGTGGGTGTACGAACTTGTATGATACATTTGTGAGAGTAGGTGTACGAACTTATAAGATACAGTTGGGAGAGTGGGTGTACGAACTTGTATGATACAGTTGGGAGAGTGGGTGTACAAACTTGTAAG